AAAACACACAATCACATATCATAACGAATCACATTCCATATCAAATCACATAATGACTATCACATATAACCTAATCACACAATGGGCCGACCTTGGTGCCTTAGACCCATTGGTATGGTGAGAAGACTCACCCTTCAAAGGCTGAACTGGCAAATTGTAGTCGGATATATCCCACGTTGCTCCTCCCAAAATGTCTATAATCAATGAGGAAAAACTCAGCATAATCCCATAAATACCCCCAGGGTCAACCCAGGTCAAAGTCAATGTCTATATTCAAGGTCAACAGTACATTTTGACCTTGACTCGTCGAGTACAAACAGTCACTTGTCGGGTTCCCTGCTTACTCATCGACTCGCCGAGTCACCCGAGGGACTCGTCGAGTTCCTGATATTTACGACCATAAACCACTGACCGTACACACCTGACCGTGAACCCTTGGCCGTGAACCCACTTGACTCGCCGAGTCATCAGAGGGACCCGACGAGTTCCCACGTAATCGGTTCTTTTCCAGTGGGATTTAAGGTTTCAAACTTCATATCCAAACTCTCCTAGTGAAGATATCACGTAAAGTTGCAAACTTTACGTGCATGCATAGCCTCACAAGGCCATAACACCAAAACTAGCCTTCAAACAAGGTCCTTATACATGGAAAGGGAATGAGCTCAATAAAAGATGCAACTTTATGACATTTTGGGCCTAAGAAGGTCCAGATCTGGAACCTTATCCTTGTGATAGGTCCAGATCTAAGCTTGCTTCCATTTTCTCAAAGTTGGTCACAACTCTCACATAGAATTTATGCTTAAGGTAACAGATTCATACCTCAAATCAATGCCCAAGACGAACTAGATGCTAGATCTAGTGTTTTCCCCCTTGATACTTCTTCTTCAAGCTTGGAATCCTCCCCAAAATTTCAAGGATAAGCTCCCAATTGATCTTGCTTCACTCACAAGAGGGTTTGTTGCCGTAAACGTTCTTTTATGGTGCTAAGGGAGGCTACTGGGTCGGATAATGACGTTTATATAGGGGGCAAACCCAAAATTTAGGGTTTTCTTTAAACAGCTTGGACTCGCCGAGTCGACCTTCGACTCGCCGAGTTGGTCCCGATCCGTGTTTCATGATCTCACGACCCTACTCGACGAGTTGGCCTCCAACTCGCCGAGTCCATGCATAAATCCTTTCCAATCCAAACCAGGTGTTACAAATAGACCTGGGCATTCCAACCTGTTGGTTGTGGGCCGTGAGTATTCCATCCCGAGGATGATTGGACTCACAGTATGTGGGCATTCCAACCTGTTGGTTGTGGGCTTGGGGTATTCCATCCCGATGATGATTGGACCCATAGTTTGTTGGCATTCCAACCGGATGGTTGAGGGCCTGGGGTATCGCAACTCGATGGTTGACTGGACCCATAGTATGTTGTATATGATTATATGTGTATTGTTGTCGTGTGGGTATTTTGGGGGAACTCACTAAGCTTTCGGGCTTACAGTTTCAGTTTATTGTTTCAGATACATCAGGGGATCGTGGCAAGGCGAAGGCGTGATCGTACAGCTCCTCACTTTTTATGACTTTGTTTCTGAGATACTCTGATATGATACATTTTGAAAACAAGTTTTGTAATGGTTAATGGTTTTGGAAATGTTTTAAAAGTTTTAAATTGGCTTGAATTTTATGGGTATTACAAGGATCCCCGGTAAAATTGTAGCCTCTCATTATGTTTCTACTTTCCTATTAATTCTATGGTTAAAAAGAATCTTCATTTATGTCACTATGTGAATGAAAAATAGGTGCGAGAACTAGCAAAAAACTTAGATGAAGTTCAGAATAGGGAAGAAGGCGTAAGAGATTATCTTTCAAAAATCGAATTGTGGACATTTCATGATGTCTGTGAAGTGGAGAGAGTAAAGATGGAAGATGTAAGTACTTTGCTTGATGTCCCTTTGTTGTTTAGGCATAGGATTAAAAAAACATATATCAGACCTACGAAGTGAGCAAGCCCTTTTCAAGTTTGATGATGGTAGAAGCTAATTGAAGTATTGGATCCTGATTTCTGAATAATACAACTAAAATAAAAAATAGAAATAAAAGAATGTAGCATTAAAAAAGGATGTTACTAGTACTTTTATGGTTATTGATTATGAAAAACAATATCCAAGCCAAACTCCAAAAAGTTGTTTAATTAAGTTTTTTTGTCTGATACTAAGATCAATACTCCAACTTATCTTTCAAAATGTATTGTGTGATAACTCTCTCCAGAGCTGGACTAATTCAATCGTCACCATCCTCATCAATTAATTAAAAAATCATATTGCCAATCCCCGTCCACTCATCAAATATTGTTAGGAAAACTCTCAATAAGCAACTACATATTACAAAATAATACTGCCATGAGACATTATAAAAACATTAAACTTACTACTAATAAATTAAAATCAAGATTGGATAGCAAATTTTCTAAATTGATAATTACAGAAAGTTCAAGATAGAAAAAGCATACATACTGCTAATAAAACTATGAAGAAGAAATTAGATGCTAAAAATTAGTAAATTCAATATAGGTTAACGGTAGAAGTCTAAAAACTAACAATTAACACAACCATATGAAATATAAAGAATTGGAATCAAAATCAACACTCAAAATATTATTCCATTTGTGACTAAAAATCAGTACTCAAGATCAAATTTCCATGGGTAATCAAAATCAGAGAACTAGTAATCAAGATCAGATTCCAATCGATTCAGAGAAACTAGAGAATGAGAGTCGACAAATCAGATAAATGATACCTTAGACCTTAGTGGCTTAGTCCTTGGAGAATGGAAGAATCGGAGAAATCGTGCGAGAAAGCAGAAAAGTTCCGATACAAATCGTTTGCTGACTCGACTTGTAAGTCATTTGAGATTATGAGAATCGGAGAAATCTTTCCAGCAAGGTTCCAGTCGATTGCCGATTGGGGAGGGGGTGTAATGCACTTTGTGAAGAACAGATTTCTGAACGCGATTTTTTTGGATTATTGAAGGGGAATTTCGATTCTGAATGCAGCAACGGGAAGATTTTTTGACGCCTCGATATTCTGCAATTTCATCTAGTAGAGAATTAGAGCTTGGTCTGCCGCCCCTGCCTCTATCAGAGATCAGACCACTAAGGGCGTACCATTCTTGTGTTTGAAAGGTGAGCGGAAATTATACTCTTCTCCGAGGGTATTTCAACTTTGGTAAATCCCATAATTAGCAAGGAGACGGAAGCAGCCGATGACTTTAGTCGGTGAAGAAAGAACGGGTCAAACCGACGTCGGTAACACCGCCTACGTCAACTATGATGTCAACGAGCAACACTTCACCGGAGATGTGGGTCGGTTTTTACATTATGAAGTTTGAAATCAAGAACCGATGGTGCAAATGAATGGCGGTGACACACACGTGGAGAGACGGTGAAGGATGATGAATCAGAGGTAGCGATAAAACACTTTCGACTTTCTTGCTCCCAGAGTCGTGTCCTATGACATCATCTCCCACCTATCTCCATTTTTTTCCTTGGAGTATAAAATAGGGCAAATAGTGTTTTATCTCGAACCCTACTGCAATTTTTACCCTATTTTTACCCTCAAAAAGTATATTCCTAGTATATTCCATTATTCCAACTTACATAGATTGTCAAATATATCCCTCTACTAATTTAGTTTTAACAAATATATAATCTATATTTTTTTTTTCATTACATTAATATTAAATACAAAAGATTATATTTATAATAAACTTATAAATAAATATTATACATGCATTTATAAAAAATATTACACATACATACTTTTAAATAAATATTATACATACATTTATATAAATATTAGACATACACAATTTTAATTATAAGTTTTTGTAAAATACGTTATCGTTTTTTTAAAATTTCAATATGTATTTAAAATTTTATATGAATTTGATGAACAAAAAACAAACTTTATATTTATAATTAATTAATATAATTTAATATATAAAAAAATAATATAAGTATTAAATATTATATTTAAATTATAATTAGTAGGTAAAAATGAACTACAAATGTATAAATATATAAACAGAGAGACTAAAACCGACAACCCAAAGTTCATCCCCATTTTGGAAGAAATGAATAGTATAACATCATATTTGGTGTAATACTATTCATATCCCCCAAAATAGGGGCATAAATGGAGGAGGGCTGGAGAAGAATGGGGGAAGAAATGGGGGAAAAATGGAGAATGAAAGTAGGTTGGAGATGCTCTATGCGATTACGAGAATGAGGGGGTAGAGAAAGACGGGATAGAGCAAAACAGATGAAAAAAAGGAGTTCTTCTTGGAAATCGATGCAAGAAACGGTGTTGGTCTGACGGTGAATAAAGGGATATGCGTGTGTTAACAGTGTCAGAAGCTGATGACGATGCAATCTGAAGTCCCAACTTAGTGAAAGCCAAAACCAACCATATATAAGCCAAACCACAAAAACCACAAACCCTAAACTTGCACGGTAGACAAGAGAGATGAGATTTAATTGCATATATATAAGTATTTTTATGAGTTATGTTAATTTAGTGTGAGCGAAAAATTAAAGATTAATATGGATATATATTAGTGGTAAAACAAGGTCCACATAACACGAAATAAAATACAAAAACCACAAATCTAAATATCTATTCGAGCATACGTAAATATCCAACCCCACTTTATTTTTTTTCATTACACGTTATCTATAGAGTATAAATAGAGTAAATACTCAAACTCATCTCTATTTTGTACTCTATTTATAAAGTAATAAATAGTTGTACTCTAAATATGTTAAATGTATTTTATTTTTACATTCCCTATATTTTTTAAGTCTAAAATAGAGTTTTGAAGTGGACACTATAAACTCTAATTTACACTATAAAAATAAATGTAAAAATAAAATATGGTTTGGGGTGCTCTTAGAAAAATAGGGTAAATAGGCAAATGACTTCGGAAATTCCAACACGTAGATCAGTAGAAAGGATTCAAGATTTGTGCCTGGGCAAAATCGTTGCCTTGAGAGGATTCTTCATGACTACAGTAAAAACAAAAGTTTCAGTCGGGTCGGGTGGGTTATCCGGCACCGGGACCCACTTGAATGTATGAATCATCCTTGCTAGCATCATGTTAATATGCAACGTACCCAAACTCCACGCCGGACAAATCCTCCGTCCAGTACCAAACGGTAGCATCTTCACTCCCTTCATCCCTGTTATGTCCACACTTGCCCCTTCTCCGCCCTCCAAGAATCTCTCAGGCCGAAACTCCTCCGGATCTTCCCATGCATCTGGATCCTCAGTCAACCAGGCTGTGTAGAACTCCACGTTCACGCCCGTCGGAATCACGTACCCACCGAGCTCCGTCGGCTGAGTGGCCGCGTGTGATAGTGTGAAGTGGCCAGGTGGACGTCGACGGAAAGTCTCTTTCACCACCGCATCTAGATACTCCATGTTCTCCACATCACTCTCTTCAATCACCCCATTTACACCAACTTTTCCAACTATTTCATTGTAAAGCTTTTCTTGGATTTCTTGATTCGTCACCAAATGAAACATAGCCCACTCGATTGTGGTGGCGCTGGTGTCTGTTCCGGCGAGGATCACTTCAGTCACAAGTGTTACGAGCTCCTCCTCCCCTAACGTCCCCCGACTTGGTGGTTGAAGATTGTAAAGCGAGTCAATGTACGCAGCACCAGGAGGACTCACCATCTCCAAGTCATCCACTTTTAGGTGGTTTACAGTAGGGCTTTTCATGTTATCTTCACATTTCTCAAGAAATTCTTTTCTTGCCCTTATTATTGGGACCATACACTCCATCTGTCTCTTTCGTAGCTCCTTAGCAGCCACCAGTTGACGTCGGAAGAGTGGGAGGAGCACAGGCAATAAATCCGGCAGCTTCGGCATGGAGATGATCATCACATCTTTGACTATGCTCTCTATGTTTTTTAGCTTTTCCTTTGAAAATCTTGCACCAAAACACAAACATATCAAAATGCTACAAATAGTGAGTCGACAAGTACTCATCACCTCTATGAACCCATGTTGTGAGTTTTCAGATTCTAGTGTTTTCATGTGTTCTTCAATGGCCCATTTCCTGATCCAACTGCATTGTCGGATCCGGGTCGGGTTGATCAACTCGGTTACAAAGTTACGTCTCAGGGTGCGCCAGAGAGGGCCATACTCCGCTGAATTGATGGCACATTTCCCAACACTAAAGAGTAGTCGGATAGGGGAGTCTGGTGGCCTGCTAGCGAAATTCGAACCCTTTTGAACTAAGGCTTCGTGGATGAGATCTGAGCTTGTGACGATGACTAAGGTACGTTGGCCCATTTGCAAGGTGAAGATCGGACCATACTTCTTACGCAAGTCACCTACGACATGCATGAACTGACGTTTTTGAAGGATGACTTGAAAGAGGTTGCCAACAATCGGCCAACCTGGTGGCCCTGGTGGGAGGATTCTCTTCCTACGGGAGGCCGTGGAGTACTGGTGCCTCCACCATAAATAACAAAAGAGACTGCATGTTACAATGGCGAGAAAGATTTCAAAATTTTCCATTTCTGGTCTCTGTGTGTGTGAGGAAGGAGATCCAGTTTGACAGATATAGAAGGTCAAAAAGTGAGTTGGCAATGCCATCTACCCTCTGAAGAATTTAATGAATATTAACAGCACATTGTATTTATTATTTGTAGCGTTGTAGATTTGTGGTGGTTGTAGGTTTTCAAGAGGGGCAATTCTATTGGCACTACGGAACTATAGACACGATTATTATGATTAAGGCCGAAGGGAACGGAACATGCTTAATATTTTGTTACATGAGATTTTTTTTTTATGCCACATCAATATTTTGAAGTCACATAAGCCGCCAGGAAGAGTGTTAGTTTAATATGTTTTATTTAAAAAAAATAGAAAAAAAAGAAAAAATATCAGTCAATGAGAGTCCACCATCCAAGTTTCTCTCTGCTCTCACCTATTTTTATGACTATGGCGAGCCTTCCTCGGCGAGATTGGTAGCGCTTTGATGAGGGTGGTGTTCAGCACCTCTAACGCAACATTGGCGAGGGTCCTAACGTGCCAACTCCCCAAAGCCTAAGTAACCATAGATGTATACGTTATAGTGTAATGATGAAAAGACAAGTTTTCAACTTTCGTTTATTTGATTTAGGCTAGCGTTATTTATGTCCATTAACATATATTTTTTTTGTTTTACCTATGCGCTACTTCACTTTTGCCATACCGTTTAAACTTTTTTTTATCTTTCTATTTAGTAGGTGTTGTTTGTAGAGTTTTCAAATTGAAAAATTAATAAATAAATAAATAATTATATAACATTTGTAAATGGCCGGTCAAAAGGGGTCAAAGAAGGGGAAAAGAATCGGATGGTAGAGATGCTCGAGACTGGAGTGTCGAGTTAGATTGTGGAGCAGCTATTGCTAAGGCCAAGGTGCGATGTGCGTCAATGCCACGTATACAGAGCTCATTGTCGAGCGAATCCCTCTAGTCTTAGGGTGTTACTATAAAAATCCAAATATATCATGTCACACTTTTTAGTAAAGTCAACTTATCTTTTTGGATATTAATCCTACATTGTTTTCCCCACACTCTCACACATATACACACGGATACACAAAAAAAAACTCTAAGAAGTATAATTAATAATTATTTTTTGTTTTCATTTATTTTTTATATATTATTTTATCTTATTTAAATATTTGTTATTTCAATAAGTCTAAAAAGAATAGTGCTATTTCTGCCACACCTTTTTAAGAGTATCTCTTTTAACTGTTGAGTTTTTATTCAAAAATTAGTTTAAAAACATAAGGTTTAGCAACGGAAGACTTTATAATTAGAATAAACATAAAACAAGTTTTATACCCACCAATGATCTTCTTACAGAGTCTGGAAAGAAAACAAGCACCAAAGATGAAAAATTGTTTAATAACCTTTGTAGACTTTGAATCCTCAAGGGGAGACTTGGAAGTTGATGGAGAATGTGGAACCTTTGAAACACCAACAAGAAGTCAACTTGATTTAAGATGCTAGTCTTGTATAGAACTCTTAATCTCTTAAGCTTAAAGTTCATAAGCAAAGTATGAACTTTAAGAGAGTAAAAATGCAAGTAACTTGAACTCTTGATCTTCAAAAGCAAGAGAGAATGAGAGAGATAGAGAGGATTTCGAAATTATGCTTGCCAAAATGAAAATTTTATCACTTCATGCAGTTAATTCTTTATCCTTAGGTCCTTAGCACTTTAAACATGTCATGTCCCCTAAAGTCTATGTGTTCCCCCATGCTTTTAGACATGTCTTACTTTCCATTTGTTTAATCAAAATCCCATAACTTGTCGAGCTTATAGGAAGTCATGGGTGACTAATAAAAGAAATAGAAAGTTTGTGAAATTTATAAAACTCTTTTATAAAATATGAACCTCAACTTTTTGGTAAAAGACAAAAGAGTCTTTCTAGTCCAAAATGTTGTACATGACTTAATAAATCATACTATATGATATATATTATGTTACTTGCTAATGAAAATTAATATTTCCATGAAATAAATAATTTCCAATTAATTAGAAGATTTTATTGAATATTTAATAAAATCAATTTCTAATAAATAATCAATTGTATTAAGTTGTTGTTAGTGTGACCCATTAGTATCATATGTTAATTAGCAATATCAATTTAATATGACTCTTGAGCATACTAGATCTTTCAATCTCCCACTTGCGCAAGACTCATATTAGACTGATATAGACAATGTTGAACATCTAGCAACATTTTACTACCCCCAACAACATATGAGTTTGTGCCATTCTATCAACGCCCAATTACCCAAAAGCTCAAAACTACAATTGTTGTATAAGGTAAGTTTATCAGTTATCCATTTATCACAGACATCATATTGAACATAAGATACAGATCGCGATAAATCTCATTAGGTGTTCAACTTTTGGTAAGGCGCCTTAGATGTCTAACTCTCAACACATAAGAAGAACAAATCCCATATTGACTACATAAGCCCCTTGCATAGTTCACACCATACCTGCAAATGGCTTTTATAACTGCCCCGTTAAGAACCAGCATTTGACCATATCTCAGCACAATACTGCCTACACTTAAGTCCCACTATGTATCTCAGTTGTTAAGAATACAAAAATAGTACCTTTTAATCAAGTATCATTCATGATAGCGATTCATGAGATGATCTTGATGCGGGTCAGTTCAATACTAGTTCTCTGACAAGTACTTATGAAATTTGGTTACAACCTATTGCCTACCTTCATCGGGTGAAAGTCAGCCAATCAAATTCATATTAGTCTTACTTCATAATTGCTACCACAATTATAACTAACTATGAACCTTTATAATAAGGGATAATGACTTGATAGGGTAAGTTACTTTTTGAAATGTACACATTTAGTCCTTATTCTTTTTTTTGTAAATTAAACCCTTATACTTTATTAATATGTACACATTAGGTCCTTTTGACCGGATTCTATAGGTTTTGCTGATGTGGAAGCACACGTGGCACTAAAAACAACTGCATAACAATTAATTAGCTTAGTCACTCCTTATAAGCGAATGTTAACTAAGGAAAGAGGATTTAGTATATGAGTTTGATACAAAAGCCTCCACATCTAGGTTCAATGATGAAATTGCTGATATGACATGTACACATGGAATGCCTGTGAGTTTCCAGCTTCTGCATCCGCATGACCTATGATTTAGATCAACAACATGCCTCTCATTTCCTGAGAACACTTCAAATTCTTTGTTGCCACTCACATAAGGTACCCGAAATCTGTCAATATACAAGAAGATAGTCAGTTACCATTATATACCAATGTATAACTAATGAAAGTGTTACTAACCTTTGCAATTCTTTCAAATCCTCTATCTCCCTTCTGTTACTAACCTTTGACCGGATTCTATAGGTTTTGCTGATGTGGAAGCACACGTGGCACTAAAAACAACTGCATAACAATTAATTAGCTTAGTCACTCCTTATAAGCGAATGTTAACTAAGGAAAGAGGATTTAGTATATGAGTTTGATACAAAAGCCTCCACATCTAGGTTCAATGATGAAATTGCTGATATGACATGTACACATGGAATGCCTGTGAGTTTCCAGCTTCTGCATCCACATGACCTATGATTTAGATCAACAACATGCCTCTCATTTCCTGAGAACACTTCAAATTCTTTGTTGCCACTCACATAAGGTACCCGAAATCTGTCAATATACAAGAAGATAGTCAGTTACCATTATATACCAATGTATAACTAATGAAAGTGTTACTAACCTTTGCAATTCTTTCAAATCCTCTATCTCCCTTCTGATACTTGGGCATATATCCAAATCCCAACTCAAACCATTTTTCTTCTACATCCATAACCTCTGCATTGCCCAACATCTTATGTCCTCCAACATTGTTATCACTGGTTTTTCTAGCATCAAGTACAGCAGAATTGAAACTTTCAGAAACTCCATTCTCTACTGCATCACAGTCCATACCCTCTCTAAAAAAAGCCATTGACCGACACCTTGGATCCCTGTCTATGAGATAGTCATAAGCCCTGTTTCCAAGGACTTAATCTCATTCATTGCTGCTTCAAACTTTGGTACAGTTGTTGCATTCACAACCCTCCAAAATGGTTTAAAGTATTGTTGTCCTTTAAATTTTTTGTGGAAAGTAGCTAGAATGTGTCTAGCACATAATCTATGCTCCACATCAGGAAGTCTTTCCTTCACAGCTTCAAATAATCCCTGATTTAAACAATTAAATGATTAGTTAATTAAATGATCAAAACAATTGAAGTTAATTGAAAAAAATAGAATGATTACCTTGTGGCCATCTGAGAGGATTGTAATGCCATGACCATTCCCCCCTCCAATGTCTTCCATCAGGTTGCCCAAAAACCATTTCCATGTCCTTTTGTTCTCAACATTGACTACTGCCCAAGCTAAGGGATAGATGTTATTATTAGCATCTTTACCCACTGCTGAGAGGAGCTCCCCCTCTACATACACCGTTAAGAAAGCAACCATCAACCCCAATTACCTTTCTGCATCCATCTAACCACCCATCCACAACACCTTTAAAGCTAACATAAAACCTATCAAAGACCAAAATATTATCAGGTTGTGGCTCCAAGAACACCTCAACATGTGAACCTGGATTAGCCCTTCTGATTTCAGTTGCATAATCCCACAATTTGGCATAATGTTCTTTCAAACTTCCCTCAACTTCAAACAATGCTAACTTTTTTGCATTCCTACACTGCCGAACACTCACATTAATGTTCTATCTCTTAGATACTAGGGCTTCCATTTTCCTCAAACTCAGTTTAGGACTCTCCAAAACATCATTTACAAATTGTTTCCCTATTCACTTATATGTTACAATTGACCCAAGTTTGAATGCCCTAGAGCAATTATGCTCTGTTATAAGAGACTTAATCTGAAAAGTGTGTTCCTCTTTCATCTAGGAAGCATACAATCTAAAAGGGCATGTTGGATTCTTTCCTTTACAACACCTAACTAGAAACCAACTCTT